TAAAGGAATTCTATAGAATTTGGGAATTCTTCACAGTCTTTCATGTCGAAGCTCTTATAGGAGCCAGCAATAGCAACAGTATCTGTCTTTTGAATAGGTGGTTAAGAGTACAGCTATTCTCACTTGGAATTTTTATCAGAAACTAAAAAGGTGATTTAATTGTGTTCACTACTAATTTACTGGTTATTTCCAGATTGAGTTAGTTTGTTTCTTTACTGTTTTGCATTAGTTGTTTTAGTGAACTGTGAGATACTTTAGCATAATTAATATCCACTGGTATTAAAACCAACACGTGATTGTAGGGGTGTGAATACCTAGTTCTGAAACTCACACCATCACTATACATAGCAGAATCTTTTCCTGTATGTAAGATAATTTAAGATTTTCGTTAAAAGAATCATATGCAAAAAGTAATTATTTTGTGGCCAAATCCTTAACTTTAGTGGTAACATCATAGAAATAAAATATTGGTAATTCAATTAGAGGAGTTAGAATAGTTTCTTGACAGAGATGTGAAATGGTATCAGAACTAACGACATCAGGTGATTGGTTTGAAATTTTTAAAGCATCTCCTCTCCTGAAAATTTGTTTAGATATATTCAGGAAAATTTGTGTTTTCAGGTTCACAAAACATACTGCCATTGCCTGTGCTCTCTTAGTTTGCACTAATAAAAATTCTTGGGCAAGGAATGGTATAGATTGTATGTAGTTACAACACAGTCTCCCCTGCTCTGGGCATTTCCTAATAACAGAACCAGACACTGCTGGGTTAAATCTGAGCTTAAAAACTCATGCTCAAACACGTATGAGCTGCTCAGGAGCATGCTTAGTTTTACTAGACAGAAAATTCTAGCAGCATTTTATATCTTGTTTCCATGACTACAGCAGATTAGAAGCATTGATGGAGAAAGCAAGCCGACCATAAGGCCTTGAGATTGCTGAAAGGAAAGAAAGCTTTCAGGATTTATAGCTGTTAGGGCCATTAACTTTGGCAGCAAATATTCCAATATCCTTCAGTAAGAATTTGAAAATATCTCCATATGATAGCAACATATGGCAATGAGTTGGTTATTTTAGAACAGACTAGAACTGTGCCTTAGGAGAGTGAAGACTGTGTTTTTCTTTTTGTTGCACTGCTCGTGCTAGAACTATGCCTGGCCTATGGTCAAACGTTTTGCTAAATGAAATGTACTCTTAACAAAATAGGGACATGTGTGTTATAATATAAAGCAGTGTCTACTCAGCTGGACTCATTTTTTCATTTGTTTCTTACATGAGCTAGCTATTTAAAGAATAAACCCTTTGCTATCCAGGAAACTTCATTTTCCAGAATGAGTTATTTCCCGCTGGTTCTGGGTAGCTAGCACTTTAGTGGATTACTAGATGTAGGTGGGGGCTTCTGTCTTCCTTTGGACGTGGGAGAATTAGGTGAATATATTAAGTGTGATAACAAACTCCTAACTTCCCAGTGAGGCTTCATAAACTTCTGCTTTTGGTCGTATCAAAGCCTTTTTGGAAGGCCTTGCTGTGTAGGAATTATAGAGACAGTGGTCAGAAGTGCATAGATGAGGCTCTTGGCCTCTGGAATGAGAGTGGGTGAATTTGAATCCCGACTCTGACATTTACCAACTCTGTGGCTGTCTGTAAATAACCTCTGTGTGCTCGTTTCCTAACACTGACAATGGTGCCTACCTAGAAGGACTGATGTGAGTTTCAATGAGATAAATGTATGCCAAGACTTCATCATGTGCTGAGCACTTTCCAAATCACCCAGTACATGAGAAGTGCAACTCATAGGGTAGCTATTATGATTAGTCTATTACAGTGAAAAACTTGCCTTCATTCTGATATCAATTCAACTGCATAAAGGGGTGAGATGTATTTGACAGTCATGTTTACAAATTGCCTCCCAGCAGTGGGAAGAGAGGCTGCGGGAACAGCGGAGAACGATTCAGGACAAGAAGAAAACAGCTGGGCGCACCAGTCGTAGTAATCCCCCGAAACCGAAAGGAAAGCCACCTGCTCCCAAACCAGCCAGCCCCAAGAAGAACATTAAAGCTAGGAGTGCCCAAAAGAGAACAAATGTGAAAAAAGCATGAGCTAACTACTTTCCAGGATGGAGACTTCCGACTTCCTTACAGCATGAGGTCGGGCATTGCCTGGGACAGCCTATGTAAGGCCACACGTCCCTTGCCTTAACAACTCACTGCCGTACTCTCCATAGACACGTCTTGCAGCATTTTTCTTAATGATATGCTTCAATTTTTCTTTTTAAGTCACCACAGGCCATAGTGGTAGGTTTGCCCTTTGGTATGGAAGGTGCATTAAAGCTGGTGGAAAAAGCTTATTGCATTCATAGTAACCTGTGTGCATACTCTATGAGATCGCTGTGTGGGGAAAATAATGCTTTTTTACAATTTGACCTAATATGTGCATTGTAAAATAAATGCCATATTTCAAATAAAACATCTAATTTTTTACAATATATTTTATTTCTATTCGACTTCTGTTGTTATAATGCTAATGATGTTTTAAAATATAATTGAAAATATAATTGCTTCTAAGGAGGAAAGCAAGAGGAATGAATGTTTAAAAGATTTTGTGTTTACTGTCTGCAGAAGAATTTTTGGGTTGAAAAGGGATTTTTGAAAAATCTAGGAAAGTAACATTGAAAATTGTAATGTGTTTTTTACAAAGATGACTTTGTGCTGTTTTTAGCTAGACACT